ATGAATAAGTTTTATGTAATAATATACCGACTATATATTAAAATAAAGTAAAAAAAAAATTAAGTAATGCCTAGTCAAGATTCGGCAGAGGTAAATTTTTTTTTATTCTAAAAAAATTGTCTAACAATTTAAGTTTGTTTTTATAATTGTCCTATTGTAAACTTAATTTTATTTTTAAATGTTAAAAACTTTAATATACCTAAAACAGTTTAAGTTTTTTATTATTAAACTTAGAGTTTTGTAAGCTTCCTATTTAGTTTAATAAAATTTGCATAATATTTTATTAATTACATTTTTTATTACTGATAAATATCTTTTAATTAAATTTCTTTTAAAATATATATATATATATATCTAAGCTTAAATATCTTTAAAAGTATACAAATTGCTAACTCGTTTATAATCTTTATTAAGCTAATTAAGCCATAGCTTTTAAATTTTTAGCTTTTTTCATTTAAAATTCAAATTTAATTCCAGAAACTTAACATATATAAATAATTTTTCTGTGTAGCAAATTCAGTCACAATCCATAATAATTATACATCCAGGCTCACAAAATTTAAGAATCGGAAGAGCATCAGATGTTAGTCCACATGTACTTTTACATGCAGTAGCTAGAAGAAGATTAAAAAATGGTTTATCATATGAAGATCAACTACTCCCATCAAGTGTACAACCTGTAAGTATGAAACTCATTAATAAAATAACTTCTATTTTAATTTATAAAAAATAAATTTAATTTTCTTCCAAACAGACTGATCAATCTCTCAAAGAAATGGAAGAAGCAAGACTGCAAGTATCTCACATTTTGCAGTCTTGCCTACAATCAAATGGAAATAGAAGGTATGCTACTCCACCTCAACAAATTGCCGCTTTTAACAAAAGGGTTCAACCTGAAATCATAGGATCATCATCTGAAACTTATGTCAAACCTGAAAGTGATTGTGATACAATATTTGGAGATGAGGTACGACTAAATACAATTTTGTTTATTACTACTTAATTGTATTTATAATTTATGAAAAAAATTTAAATGTTAAACATTACAGAAAATTTTTTTAGGTACTACATTTAGATCCTTCTCTTGAATTTAATATTCACTTTCCTTGGAGGAGAGGAGATCTCAATGTTCATTCTGGACCAGGTGGTTCACTCACAGCAGTATTAGCAGATTTAGAAGCTATATGGACTTATGCAATTACAAATAAGTTAGAAATTCCTCAAACGACTTTTGAAGTAAGTTGTTTTATCATTATAATTATTTGTAATTAAAATAAATTAAAAATTTTTAAATAATGAAATAGCAGTGATTTAAAATAAAAAGTTATCTTCCATTAATAGAATTTTTTAATTTTTTCCAGCATTACAGAGTAGTATTAATTATCCCAGACATTTACAATAGACAATATCTTAAAGAGCTCACTAGGATGCTATTACTAAAAATGGGTTTTGGAGGTTGTTTTTTGGTTCAAGATCATGTAGCAGCAACTTTTGGTGCCGGACTTGGGTATGCTTGTGTTGTCGATGTTGGAGATCAAAAGACTAGTATTTCCTGTGTGGAGGATGCTATCTCTCATAGAACAACCAGAGTTAGTTAATTTTGTTTTCTTTATTCAGATCTCTTCATAGATTTTACAAAAAATTATATTAAATATATTAATTTCAAGGTAAGATTAAGTTTTGGCGGAGCAGATATCACGCAGACATTTTATTGGCTGTTACAAAAATCATCTTTTCCTTTTAAGCAATGCAATCCTCAAAACAGACTTCATGCCTTACTACTACATACCTTAAAAGAAATGTTTTGTCATGTCAATTTAGTAAGTAAATTTTGGTTTTACTTGAAAAGAATTTAATGTACTTCTTTAAGAACCAGTTTTTTTTTTTTTTAACTATTAGGATATTTGTGGTTCACAAGAAAAAAGATTTGTGGTGAGGCAACCAAATCAACCTACTCTTCAGTATACTATTCAAGTCGGAGATGAAGCTATAGTTGCTCCATTAAGTTTATTTTCACCAGAATTATTTGCCATAACTCATTCTAAAGAAATTCACACGCAGGAAAGAAATATGGGTGATCCAGAAGATCCTCACGATGAACATTACTTGAGAGAAACTAGTGTAAGAATTTACTTTTATCAACTTTGCACAATGTTTATTTATTTAATAATAAAATAATTTAATTAAGTTACATATTCTTATAATTACAGAGAAAAAAAGAAAATTTAGAGCAAACGGGTTTTCCTGAAGAACAAATTCTAGAAACAGTAGAAGATGATATAGTTGTCGATAATATTGAAACAAGTACTTCTTGCAACAAAGAATTTACCGTTTTACCCCAACAAATTATGGGTCTCGATCAGGCTGTGCTGCAAAGCATTGATAGATGCCGTAAGAATTAAATTAAATTAAATTAAACTAATTTGTTTTAAAATTAATATAAATATTGTTTAAATATTGAAATGTTTTTTTTTTTAGCAAATGATGACGTCAAACGAAAAATGTACGGATGTATATTAATTGTGGGATCAGGAATGAAATTTCAAGAAATTGGCAAATGGTTACAAAATAGAATAGCTTTACAAACACCTTATTTATATCGATCAGGTATGATTACAAATTTGCTCTCGAAAATAATTATAAAATAATTCTTCAACAATTATGTTTTTAAAACATTTTTTTTTTTTAAATTAAATAAATAATAGAACAAGTGGATATCATAACCAATGCGAAAGAAATGGATTCTGGAGGAACATGTTGGAAAGGAGCTGCCATTTTATCATGTTTAGAATCGGCTAGAGAATTATGGGTTTATCCAGCAGAATATGAAAAATGGGGTGTTAAAATTTTAAGAGAAAAAGTTCCTTTTATGTGGTAAACTTTAAAAAATATTAAAAATAATTAAAAACTTAAAATATTGCTTTCTACAAAGTATTTTTTTAAAAACAACTTACATGCTCACATAATTAAAGACAAAGTTAATGAATCGGTAAAAATATTATTACTACTATCTCTTTAAATTTTACTATCCTTTTTTTCATGTTTAATCATTTGATTAAAACGATAATATATAAAATAGACTTTTAAACTCCTCAGAGGAAGGAATATATATAAACGTTTGGAAGCAAATGAAAGGAGTTTTAATTATCGACAGTTTTTTTTTCAAAAGAAAATTTAAAAAAAAATTAAATAGTTTTATTTTAATTTTAATCGATAACATAATTTTTTAAATAATATATATAATGATGTCATTTTAAATTAAATTAACAAGTCTAATTTGTAATATATCATGCGGATTTACTTCAAATAATTGAGTTCTTCTAAGTAATTCAATATGTTCGGTTATATTATCTTCATTTTCTAATTGGAGATATTTATCACAGCCTTCTGTAAAATGATGTTCAATTATTCTAGCAATTAGATCTTGAATATCTAAATTATCAGCAAATAGTGTAGTAATAATTTCTTTCTAAAAATTATGTAAGTTTGTATTATTATAAAATATTATAATAATATGTTTTAATTAAAATTTATGAAACACTTACCAAGTCGGATTTTTCTTTTTTAAAACGCATTTTAATATTCTTTACAATTTCACTTACATTTGTTTTACATACAGTACTATTTCTACTGGCTTCTATCATATTTTCTAAATTAGATATGTTTGTATTCATGCTAAAAAATAAAATCAAATGAAAAGGCGAGTAAAAAAAATATAAAAAATGGAAATTTTCATGGAATACCTTGAAATCTTTTCTTGATTTTCGTTAATATCAGTAATTAATTTCTCAAGGCCAGAAGTAAGAGAATCTATTTCATTTTGCAAGGATTCTTGAAATGTTTTAAATATATCTTCATTATTTTCTATGTCACCTGAAAGGTACAAAACATGGTAAAAATTCTTTTTCTTTTAATTGAGTAATACTATTAAACACACTCTTATTACCATTTATATCTCTATTAAGTACGGAAGACGAATAACAATAATTGGTAAAGAAAAAATTTTCAATTGGATCATTTGATCCTAATACTATCTGATTATTAAATAATTTTTCAACAGTTAAATATATTTTTCTCATTTCATTTTCAATTCTGTAAAAAAATTTAATTAAAATAATTTTTAATAAATAATAATTGGTAATAAATGTTAATAAGAAAAAAAATTAATTTACTGCTCTATTAGTAATTCTTCTTCGTCTGGCTCATGATCCATAACAATGAATAAATTTTTTTTAGTTACTACTGATAATAAAACGAAAATATTAATACAATAGAAGCCAATTTTTTTTTTTTGGCGCGTACATTGCTACCAACTTAAACACAAATTCATTGAAATATTTTGTCGACATTTTGTCAAATTGCGTGAATATCTAAAAATTTGTAATGTTTCAACCGAGATAAAGGTGAATTTTAAAATAATTGAAAATGAATAGTTTTTTATTTTCTATTAAAAAGTTAAAATTTAATAATTATATTTATTCTGTAAGTATTGCAAATGACCTATTTTTTCTATTTTCGTGTTAGTTTTTAACATGAAAATATTTTAACTCAATTTCATGATTATTAACTTAACGTTAAAGTTAATGCTTTGTATTATAAAATTCACAAATTTCAACAGAAAAAAGTAAAAAATTACATAAATATATCGAATCACGGAATATTAATGTATTAATAACAATTATTATTATAACTACGAGTTTTAGGCGCGAAATTTTTATATTTAAATCAGTTAGTAATAAAAAAAACTCCTAACTAAATCAATTTCGCTGTTTTTTTATGTTAAAGAATTAACATTAAAATTTTTTATATGAATTATGTTTAAGATTTAAATTTAAATTGTGTTCTTTTTGCATTGTAAAAAAAAAAAAAAAACGTAAATAAAAGAATCAGTTTAGAAGGAAAGAATTAAAGTCAGATTTCGATCGATACGATATATACGTTTGGAATCTAAATTAAAGCCAGTAGGCGCATTTAAGAAGTGTTAAGAGTGATGGCGCGGGGATACCTCAGTTCGTTAGCGATCTTTCACGTTACAACTGGGTTTCCACCGATGTCTTATTATTATTATTATTGATAATGAATGTTTTGTGGTTAAAAAAAGTGTTTAGTTAAATTTTAAATTTTAGTTAAATAACATTTGTTATTTATTTATTTAATATTGTAGTGTTGTCGAATATGAAAAAATATCATTTAAAGGATTTTATTAATGTGGAAAAAAAAACACAAGCGGTAAGTTTTTTATTATTATTCTCTTTTTTTTACAATTTTTTTTCTTCTTTTTTCTCCAAATAATAATTTGTTTTTATAATATGCTCAAAAAGACTAATTATAAATTAAAGTAAAATACTACCACCTTATAATTTATAAAGAATTTTAATTTTAATAAATTATTATTATTATCATATTTTTTTGAGACAAAGCTGTCACAGTAAATTAAATAATAACATTAAATTTTTAACATTTTTTTTTGGGGGGGGGGTTTTAATATATAAATTATTTATCATTTTCGATTAAAAAAAAATTAATGAGTGTTTATTAATTTTATTTATTTATTTATATTTACGAAGGCAAAATAATAATAATAATAATAATAATAAATTCGTCAAATAAAAAATAATACGGTTTAGGAAAATAATAAAAAAATAATAATTTAATAATATACTTTTATCAAATTTTTTTTTTAAGTATAAATTTAAAATTTTTTTGGGAGTAAGAAAATTTTTTTAAAACAAAGGAAAATGGAAAATTTTACATAAAACACAAACACATTTAAAAAAAAAAAAAAAAAAAAAAAAAAAACATAAAAATTAAGTAATAACGATAACATTCAGATTAAAAAAAAAAAAAAAATACGTGAATGGTTGAATAGACATTGCGTACAATATGAATGATCTGATTCATAATTTAAAACGGTAAAAAAACAATAAAATTTTATTTTTTATTAATTATTTTTGCCCTGATAATTAAAATTATTTATATAAGACACAAAAAAAAATATATTTAAAATAACTGGTCAACGATTTTTATAGCAATTAACATTATTAATAATTGTAACGTATAATGAATGATGAATGAATGAATGAATGAATTTTAACGGTTCGTATATAATTTATAAGTTAATTTTTTCCCGATTTTTGTTGTTGTTGTTGTTGTTTGTAGCAATAATCTAAATAATCGTGGTTCTAGAATCAATAATAAAAATTATTTTCTTATTGTTATTTCATTTCAAAAAAAATTGAAAATTACATTTGCACAAAATGAATTATTAATTGCAATGGAAATATCCATTGTTGACCGTTTCAATTAAATGATGTTACTCGTTGACCTTTAACCTTAAATACTTTTATACGACTTTAAGGTCGGTCAAGGCCTATTTCTGCTGTTTTAAAACTATAATAGGCGTTTAAAAAAAAAAAAAAATATTAAGTAGGATTTTGATTTATTATTCTTTTGTTTTGTTTTGATTAATAAGGGCGGTATTATTATCGATAAATAAACGTCAATGTGATTTTTATTAAGGCATAGAAATTAATCGAAACATTTTTTTATTAAAAATAATAATAATAATAATAATAATAATACTACTTGACAATTGTAACCGGTCAATAAGAAAAAAAAAAAAAAAAAGTCGTTAATGATAATCAAACGACCGCAAAAAAAAAAATAAAAAAAACTTTCTTAGCACAGATTTTAAATATTTGACAAGATATAAAACTTAATGAAGTTTTAATAAAATAAAATATATAAATTTTTCTTTTTTTAATAAAATAATAATAAATTTAATTCGGTTTGAATAAAGTCACGTGATAAAATAAAATTAAAAAATATTATGAGAAATTTTTTTTTTTTTTATTATTATTAAAATTAAATAAGGGTATCCGTTATGCTTCCCACTCCATCTTTTTTTTTTTTTAAATAAATTTAATAAATTTATTATTTGTTCGTTAATATTAAAATTTTTAAATTGTATTAATCCCTTTGTCGATAGAATCAATGTAAGAATTAAAGTGGGGGGAAGGGGGGGGGGGGATTTTTAAATAAAAAAAAAATTTTTAATTGATATTTATTAAATGGCGGGGATTAAAATTCGATAAAAAGTTTATTTACTCCCGTTTGATTTGTTACAATCGAAAAAATTTTACTAACAATAAAAAAAAAAAAAAAAAAAAAAAAAATTGCACATCGTTAATTAATATTTTTTTTTTTTTTACAAAACGAAGAAGAATAACACGTGATTTTTTTTTTTTTTATCAAATACAATAGACATAATCTCGTTATAAAACGTTACAACGAGCAATTAGATTCGGTTACAATAAAAAAAAAATTCTATTCTAAATAACGTGACGTGATCAGCAGTTTTTTTTTTTTTTTTTAACACAACATACGTAATTCAATTAAACCGACGACGATTTCTAAATAAATATTTACAAAATCGATTCGAAAATTAATGATTTTTCTCTCTCTCTTTAATTTTGTGTAATTTTTCCGTTACAAAACGTGTTACATAAGGGAAAATTCGATGAAACTTACTATAATTTTTTTTTCTCTCAGGAAATAATAAAGAAAAAGTTTTTATTTCATTATAGTGAGAAAAATTCCGTTAAAACCGTTAAAACCGTTCGATCGAACTTTTTTTTTTTTTTTTTAAATTAATTAATATTATATTTAATATTCAGTATGCGCTTATAAAAATTTATCGGTCAAACTTATTATTATTACGAGACTAAATTTGAACTAGAACAAAATTAATGATGGATTTATTACACGTAGGAAAAGTGTACCGTTTTTTCGTGAGGAGGTTCATATAGGTATTCTTGTTGACCAATAAATAATTCATTGAAATTGTATGTACGTGAATAACTTTTGGCAAAAGAATTCAAATCGATGAATTATTTAATTTAAAAAAAAACAATGGCGTTATTTAAACTTTACCTTAAATTTACATTCGTAATATTAAAAGTTTGCTAAATCAAACGCGTCGTAAAAAACAAATTCAATCTACCTGAATTTCTCCATTCATTTTTATTATTATTATAGTCACTCTTAAACACGACAAGGCTCTTTTTTGTCGGGGTTTTTAAGCATTTATTCCAGGTTTCTACCCGACGATTCCTTAGGGACAAATACTCGAATTTCGGTGGTGCTATTTATTGAGTATTTTCCGAAGAATGTGGGCCGTCCCACATAGTGCGATTTCCTGGATGGTTTCTTCTTTTAGGTTCTTCATAATCTTCTTTAAATTTCCTTTCATTGAATGTGGCATGGCTCCCAATGCTCCCACGATGACCGGAATCGTTTCAGTTTTTGTTTTATTATTATTATTATTATTATGTAATTAATTCAATTTGTGTGTAGTCGCATTTGAGGAAAATCATGAAAAAAATTTATTTCTACTCTTAACTTTTAAATTAAAAATATTTTGAAGCATTGCGTTATTAAATCACATATTGTGTTGTATACATTTTGATAAACTTCTCTTTAAATTTAATACAAAATAATATTTACTAATAATAATAATAATCGAACATTAATTTCTTCTTTGTTACGACAAAAATAAATATTTTTTTTTTTTTTTAAATTATCAATTTCTAAAACGTATAAGAAACGAAATTGATTTGAAAAAAAAATAGAAAAAATAGAAAAAATAGTAAAATAGTAAAAACGTCATCAAAATAATTTTTTTTAAAAAGTAAAAGTCATTATTTATTTTTAAACTTGTCGATATTTATTATCATTTATTTGTAAGCCTAAAAATTTAAAAAAAAAAAAAAAACAGGTATAATACCGTAAATTTAAATTATATTAACGGGTTAATACATAAAAGTGAATAATATTAAATTAATTTAAATATTTAATAATAATAACTTATATAGTTTTTTAATTTATTTTTAAAACGAATATCATTTCCTTTAGTAATAAAAAATAATAATAATAATTCAATTTAATAATAATTCAATTTAAAAAAAAATGTGATTTCACGATACATTTTATTAAAATAAATTTTTTTTTTGTGTGTGCCTGAAATCGATCGATGACTTCCGCGAAATAAAAAAAAAAAAAAAAAAAAAATGTCTATTCCATATCTTGTATTACATAATTCAATTTGTTGTATATGCATTTTGCTGAGATTTTAATTAAAGGCTTTGCTATGTAAATATTTTGTTCGTTTTAGTTGGTTAGTTAGTTAGTCGGTTAGTCAGTTAGTTAGTTAGTTAGTAGTTAGCACTTAGCCATTGCATAAATAAAACAATTTTAAGATTATATTCCTATCGAAATAAAATTGTCACTTATCAAATTTCATATATTCTTCGTTTAATATGTTTAAGGTACAAAGTATAACCTAAAAAACTTGATTTATTTTTTTTATAATCGCCATTTATTTATGAATTATATAATTTAATTAAAATATTATTATTATTATTAAATTTTGCCTGAAACGTGCGATTGAATTTTATTTTATAATGACGTAGTAAGGACGATACATGTAAATTTTATTAAAATCATCATCATCATCATCGTCGTGATGTCGGTTAGGTTTTTTTATTTTAATAAATATAATAATGAATTCAAGGCACGTTTCGTATTTATTTATTTATTTTTTTAATCAAATAATTTTTAAAAGAAATAATAATAATAATAATTTTTCCACGCGTTTTCTATTGTTAAGCTCATCGTTCCCAAATAATTTTTTAGTGCAGTCAACCAATGTCATTCAGCTATATAAAAATGAATCTTACAAGAAAATTATTACGCACGATTAAAAACCTTGGTTTAAGAAAAAAAAAAAAAAAAAAAAAAACCTTGCACTTGCCAAGTAGCATCCTATGAGAATCAAGGTTTAGGCTCTGTCGGGTATGACCTTCCTTCCTATCGTTAATTTACTTCCTAAATTAAATTTTTTTTTAACGAAAAGAAAAAAAAAAATTTTTTAATTATTAAAATTTCATTTATTATTATTATTAAGAAAAAAAAATTCCCGATCGTCTGCTTTTTAAATTTAAATTTAAAAAAAAAACCTTGAATTTTAAATGCCAACAGGAAAAAAAAAAAAAAAAAAAATTTTAATTTTTTAAGTATACTGGTGACACTTTCAATATATTCTCGTTCCACTTTTCATAATTAAAATCCAATTACGTCACACAGTTAATATGAGAGCACGTTCAGAAAATTATTATCATCATTTTCGCGAGTCGGTATTTACAATAAAATGTTATTTATTTTCTATCGTCGTCCTTTTATACATTTTTCATATATTTATAAATGATTTTTCGACATGGTAAACAATTGAAAATTCCTTTGGAAAATCTGGAGATTTTTTACATTCGTCGGGTAAATCATTATTTTATCATTTAAACGAATTTTATACAAAAATTTTTCTCGGTTAGAAAAAAATCATAACCGTAACATCAAACGTGACGAGTAGTTTTTCCTAATGAAAATCCATTCGATTAACTTTTTTTTCGTTAACTAAAGTTAAAAATAAAAACTTTCATCCATAAATTGATATCTGCCATTTTATATATATATAAAAATTGATTTTTCCAATAATTCTGCGTAATTTATTCGAGGATTATTTGCACGAATAACTTTTTTTTTTTTTTAAATTAAAATTATTGTTTTAGGAAATTTGTTTTAAAAAAGGGCGTAAAAAATTTTTTGTGTTTTATTATTATTTTTTCTTACTGACACAATTTATTTTTTATTTGACGAATTATTTTATTAAATTTTCATCGAAAAAAAAAAAAAAAATATTTAACTCGAATATTTAATTTAAATGATAGTTTATTTAATTAGTTCACAAGAGTTATGTAATTTTATTTAGATAGATATGTCAATAAAATTAATTTTATAGGTCGTAGAAAATAATGACGTAGAAAACTTGTCAAAACAAGTCAAAAATTTTTTTATAATTTATATAAATATTTCGTTAGATGTGAGCAGGAAAAACAAAATTTTTTTTTTTTTTTGTTTCCTTTTACCGGTTTACTCAACGGTTTTATTAACAAAAAAAAAAAAAAAAATCGCGACTACTATTAAAAATGCGTGAATATTTACAGGAGGGGGGGAAGGGGGAAGGGAGGGAAATCATTATCATTGATCTCAATGACATTTTCATGTAACGTCGTAAATTTTCGGCATTAAATTATCAACACGAATTTTTTTTTTACAAAAAAGAACATAATAATGATTTTAAGGTCACGTGTGTTGACAATGATGAAAATGAATGAAACAATACATAAAGTCTTGCCCTAGAAATATTTAAAACAAAAGATTTTACAAAAAAAAAAAAAAAAATCAAATTAATAAAAAAAAATTAACTTTTGCGATTTCATTCAATCGATGGTAATGGTAGGAAATTTTTTATTTTGTTAAAATCAAAAAAAAAATTCATAACATCAGACGGGATAAAGAATGAATTAAAAACAAACAAACAAACAATGTTTTCAATTTTTTTTCTCTAACTTCCAAAAGGAAATTAAAAACTATCACCGGGAAAATTTTTTTTTGATTTTATTATAAAAAATTAATTTAATAATTAAAAAAATTGTGGTTAAAATCGAAAAAAAAATTATTTTTTAATATCTCTATAACAAAAAAAAACCACATTTTTATCTTAACACGAACATAAACATTGTGTTTTTACATGGTTTTGTTATTATTATTATTATTAAGTTGGACTTTAATATAACGATTAAAAATTTTGATGATAATATTAACAATCGTTAGTCAGTTAATAAAAAGAAAATCAAATTCGATATTAATAGAAAATGTCTTTTATTTTATTTTTTTTTTTTTTTTTTCTTATCCCGTAACAATGATATGATGCCAATGACCTGTTATGTTACAAAATTACTTATTATTATTATTATTAACAATGATGTATTTTTTTTTTTTTTTGTAAATATTGCAAAAGTTTAGAAAAAAAAAAAAAAAAGACAAAAATTGAACTTTAAACTTTATTAGTTTATTATTATTATTATATTTTTGTTTATTGATTATATGTTTAATGTCATGTTTTAAGGGTTTTTGAAATTTTGGTCAATGTGTGATATAGTTTGATGATAAAAATAAAAATAAAAATAAAAATAAAAATTATTTTCTGTGAAAATTTCAGTCGTGATGTGCAAAGAGGCGTGTTGCGTGGTGCATGGTCTTTGGGGATTCATATATACGGCAGCGGGATCCGTACAATTGGTGGCGGGGATATTTTTTTTACTATCTCTCCCCGTTTTCAAACTGGGATCAAATATATGGACGGGAGCTTGTGTACGTATTATTTATTTATTTATTTATTTTCTCTTTTCGAACGACTGTTTTCGTACATAAATCAAATTTTATATTATTTTTTTTATCCACAGAATGTCCTAATCGGTGTGGGAACTTTCATATTAAGCTGTTTTGGAACTTTAACAGCGGGAAGAAGCGAAAAACTTTTAACGGTATCCGTATTAGCCCTCATTATAAACACAGTAAATTTAGTTATATTGGAAATCGGCGAATGGTATTTTTTTTACACTGACGATGTTAAATCCACAATAGAAAGAAAAAATCAACATGATCTTGCTTTTTACGGTGAGTTTTTTTATTTGAATTTAAATAAATTATTTATTTACGGTGTAATTTATAAGAGATTGAAAATGTCGCGGGGAAATATTTCATTATTTGAGCACATTTAAAAACCTTTGACGTAGTATCAATTATTATTATTTTTTTCGCAAAGTATTAATTGCTCGTGAGATTCAATACAAAATTAAACTGTTGCATAAAACTGACGGTACGGAGGGAGGGGGAGGGAGAAAGTTAATTTCTATAAGGACAATAGTTCGTTATTAACTAACGAGAAAATTAATTTGTAATAAAGGCTAAAAAAAAAAAAAAGAAAAACTTAATAAAGAATCACTTGAAACCTTGAGTCATTTATCATGATAACGAGAAAAAAAAAATGGGGGGATTGCGTAAGAAAATTCAACCTCAGCCATTTTTATATATACTTATAATTATTTATTGTTAGGAATTTTATTTCTCATTTAATTTTCCACAAAATAAATATAATCAAAAAAAAAAAAAAAAACGTTAACGAAATTTGTAGTTTTCCCATTTCTACACATTCGCATTATTCTACGGTATGGAAAATTCGTAGACGTACTACTACTACTACTACTACTACTACTACCACTACTACCAGACATTACACGAAACTATTCAATTTTCAATAGAAAAATTTAAAATTTTAATTGACAATAATTTAATTTAATTTTTTTTAAATTTTAATGTAATAGTCCATTACAAATAAATTAATTGAAACAAACAAACGATCATTAAATTTTATCTAATTGCGAAAAAAAAAACACAAAAAATTGTTGTAAGAAAGTCGTATCGATTATTATTACAAAAAAAAAATAATAATATAAATAATAATAATTTGTTTTATTTTCCAAGTAAATGAATAATAGGAATTTTTTTTGTTCTACAAACAAACAAACAAACAAACAGAATAATAATAAAGTCGCGTTTAATTTTTTTAAAATAAATACGTAAGAATAATTGAATAAAATTTTTTCGCAATTAAAAAAAAAATTTTAAAATTATAAATTACAATGACCGTTTGTTCGTTGTTGTTGTTTGTTGTTGTTGTTGTGTTGTTGTTGTTTCGAATTAACATGAATGCAAATTCATTACGTGGAAAATTATTTAAATTTTTTTTTACGTTTTGTTTTTGTTTTCTTTATTTTTAGCAATACTGTACTTTGATTATAATTGCATCACAATAATAATAATTATTATTATTATTATCTAAAATAATTTTTTTTATCTGTTCTAGCTCATGTTAGTACAAGTGTAACGACAGTTATTGTTATATTAGTCGCATTGGTGGATACGCAATTAACATTTTGTTCAGTTCAATTATTTAAAAAAGAAAAAAAAAAACAAGAAAAAAACGGTCAAAACAATAACGAAACCGTATCAGACATCGAATACATAATTCCTAGGGTAAACGAATAATTCAATGGAAATTTTTTTTTTAATTATAAATTTGTATTATTAATTTAATAAATTCGATTTGTATGAATAGCAAAAAAAAAATAGATCGACAAGCACGAGTAAAAGTCCTACGATAAATCAATATAATCAATCGTGGGTATTCGATGCCGAAACGGGTACTTCCGTTAACGACTCACCCTCTATAAAGGCTCATTCAGGAGCGACAATATTAAGTTCCAGTACGACAACAGTAAAACAAAATCAATGTCGCGATCAAAAACATTATTCTTCGACTCCGATTGTCACAGGTAAGTCATAAATAAATAAATAAATTTTTTAAATTATGGTTGTACAACTGGCTCCCACCGCCCCCCCCCCCAATAATATTTCCTTTTTTTTCTTGTAATGAATGCGAAATTTGAAATGAATGAAATTATATCTTAACGTATTTACGATAGCACTTGAAATTGTTTAAAGTTAATCACAAAGCTTTTATATAATTAAAAAAAATGGGCGGGGGGGGGGAAATTTAAGGGGTTGCAAACACTTACACGCGTAAATAAGGGTTGAAAAACATTTTGTGTGTGTCAAGTGGTGGTGTAAATCTCATTAAAAAAAATTAATAATTTGAAAATTTATAACCGATAATAATAACGTCAACAGCTGACATTTTGTATAAAAACAAACGTGTATGACGTCTCCCCATTTTAAAAAAGAACCAAAAAAAAAATCAGTGTTTAACTTATGAAGGGTAAATGAGTTAGGAATTTAAATGAGTTGGCATAAATTTATGCATGTATTTGAATTACGTTATGAAAAGGTTATGAAAATGTATAGATGAGGAATAATAATAATACGATATCGAAACAAATAATTATTTATTTATATTAAAATTATATATTAGTTATTATTATTAATTTTCAATATGGTTTCTTATTTAATTTACTTAGAAATTTTCAAAAGAAGATTTTTTAGGCAAAATGTTAGCTGTGAAAAAAAACAAACAAATTTTTTTTTTTGTCGACTTAACAATTTTTTTTTTTTTTTTTAAATAAATAAATAAATAAATTTTTGTTTTTGGTTGTGTGAATATGTCAATAAAGCTAAATTAATTTATATTAAAAAATGTTTTTGTTGTTGTTGTTGTTGTTGTTATGATTATTGTTTTTATTTTGTAAGGAAATGAATAAAAGAATCTCTTCAGAAAAGAAAAAAAATTAACTCAAATTTTTTAGATAACGCTGATGATGATGATGATGATGATGATGGCGATGATGACGTTGTCGTCAGAGTTCAGGTCGGTGAGACTTTGGACTTACAATCCAGTCGTGATGGAAACCGTCAAATAAATCACATGAAGAGTTTTTCTAGAACGCCTTCGCCCGCACATGCCTCGCAGAGTTCGTCTTCCAGTTCGTCTATTCCTCCTATTTACGAGTGCCTAGAAAGACTTACTCAACCGACAGTTTATAGAAATAGATTAAGTACATATAGAAATGTTAACAAAAAAAACTCAGAGGTTTCCGGTTCTAAATTCAGGGTTCAAAGTGACGATAAGGAACATTATGCCACGCTCATGGTAGAACTCGAAAATTCATTCGTGAATAAAAAAGATACGAAAACAACATTGTACACGATGTCTTCTCCTCCTCCACCACCATCTTCGACTTCGAAAAGTTCAACTTCGCACACGAGTTTTTACACAAATGACAGTTTAATAGATTCGTCGGACGCGACGAGGCAGCAGCAGCAGCAGCAACAACAACAACAACAACAACAAGCATCAGCAAGCGACGCGGAATTTTCAAAAGAATTAGAAGCCGCACTTAAATTAATACAAGATTTAGAAAGTCCAAACACGATAGATACGCCGTCGGAAACGACGTGTAAACACCCTATCGGAAACGATACGTTAGAAAATCCAAGGAGGAAGTCACAAGATGATAAAAACGATAGCGACAGCAGCACGAAAACAATTAGCGGAAGCAGCAGTCTCGAAGCTCATGGTAAGAATCAAAAAAATTTACCGGTAGAATCACAATCAACTTCCGGTTATAATTCTCCTTCCCTCGACCGTTCATCACGATTCACACCGAC